ACCCACAGCTCCATCAGGCAGGAGGTTGGGGTGGCAGTCAAGAAAATCATTCACCACCCACTTTATAATGACAACAGCCTCGACTACGACATCGCCCTCATGAAGCTGCGAGTGCCCCTCAACTTCTCAGGTAAGAAGATGCTCTCGTGGTGCTGTTGTGTCCTTCTCATCCCACAATGAAAAGCTGCCCCAAATCAGCCCCTTCTGACCCTGCCCCTTCAGAGCAGCTCTTGCAGGACACCCAGCCTGGCACTGGGAAGGTCAGAGCACTCTGAGCTGGGAGTCACTGGGGAGAAGGCTGTGGGAGTCCCCAGAGCTCCTGGACCAGGAGCCTTTCCCATCACTGAGCCAGGCTGAGGGTTCTGCAGGCTGGAGCTGTCCCACTGCCCTGGCACTCACCCTGTCTCCTGGGCAGATGCCATCCGTGCTGTGTGCCTGCCACCCTCCCACCAGGACCTCCTCCAGGGCACCCAGTGCTGGGTCTCTGGCTGGGGATACACCACACCTGACCAAGGTGAGCTCCTACCCTGTCCCACTGCTCACTCCTGCCTGGAGGCTTTTCCCCTGCTTCCCACTGCCCCATCCAACTGCTTCTATTCCACCTGTGATCCTCCAAATGCTCTCCTCACCTCCATCCCACCCCTGCTCCAGCAGCCTGCACCCCACATCTGGAGCTCCAGTGGCCTGGGCATACCTGATCCCATATAGGGACCTTATCTTTCCATCTCTGACTTCCCAGCTGGTGCCCATGGAGCTCCAGTGGCCTGGGCATACCTAATCCCATATAGGGACCTTATCTCTCCATCTCTGACTTCCCAGCTGGTGCCCTGGTCTCTCCTCTCATCCCCTGCACACCTTGCTCTGCCCTGCTCTCCCTCTCATCCCCTGCACACCTTGCTCTGCCCTGCTCTCCCTCTCATCCCCTGCACACCTTGCTCTGCCCTGCTCTCCCTCTCATCCCCTGCACACCTTGCTCTGCCCTGCTCTCCCTCTCATCCCCTGCACACCTTGCTCTGCCCTGCTCTCCCTCTCATCCCCTGCACACCTTGCTCTGCCCTGCTCTCCCTCTCATCCCCTGCACACCTTGCTCTGCCCTGCTCTCCCTCTCATCCCCTGCACACCTTGCTCTGCCCTGCTCTCCCTCTCATCCCCTGCACACCTTGCTCTGCCCTGCTCTCCCCTCTCTCCCCCCAGCGCAGGTGACAGTGACGCTGAAGGAAGCTCTGGTGCCTCTGATCGGCAGCAGGAGGTGTAACAGCTCGTGCATGTATGCAGGAGAGATCACTGCCAGGATGCTCTGTGCTGGCTACCTGCAGGGCCAGGTGGATGCCTGCCAGGTACCAGGGGGGCAAGGTGCGAGGTGCTGGGGGTGTGCAGGGACTCGCCTTCAGCTTCTTGTGTGGCTGAGGGAGAAACCAAACTCAGGAGATCCTGGGTGAGGCGCTGGCACAGGTTGCTCAGAGCAGCTGTGGCTGCTCCATCCCAGGTTGGATGGGGCTTGGAGCAGCCTGGGCTGGTGGGAGGTGTCCCTGCCCTTGGCAAGGGGTGGGACTGGCTGATCTCTAAGGTTCTAATCCAAGCCAGTCTGTGATCTGTGAGTCTATGACCTGCCTGAACTCCCTCCCTGCTGCCTGTGGGGCAGAGCTGCTCCCTGAGCCCTGGCTCTGCCTCCCAGGGGGACAGTGGAGGTCCCCTGGTCTGCCAGGATGAGTCCACGTGGCGCTTGGTGGGGATTGTGAGCTGGGGCCAGGGCTGTGCTGAGCCCAACCACCCTGGGGTCTACACCAACGTGGCTCAGCTGCTGCCCTGGATCTACCAGGTCACTGAGGTAAGCCAAAGTGCATGTCCAGCCTGACCTTCCTTAGACAAATCCCAATCCAGCACCCTATGGAGCTGTTCCCATCACTGCCCTTGTCCCCTGAGCCCCTGGGACAATGGTACTGATTCTTTTTTTGTTTTCCTATTCATCTATTTTATTAGAACTACTAGGAATCAGGCAAGGAGATACTTCAGAGAGCAACACTTTGCCTCTTCCAGGTAGTAAGTGGAGAATGGTCCAGGACTGATTCATCCTGTGTCACTGTAACCTGACCAGAACCCCCAGATAACATCAGAAAACGTGTTCAGTATAAATAGTTTATTAAAGAAAATAGCAAATTACATTTCTGTGAATAATCAACATGGGAGAAGTGGGTTTTGGGTTGCTGTGTGTGAAGGGACAAGAGATCCCACGAGCTCAAATGTTCTGGGAACACTCTCAGCCTGTAGACAAATCACTTGAGGGAAGAGAAGAAGCAGTTTTAAAGTGTCAGTTGCATTTTGCTTCAGCTCTCCCTTCCTTGCTGCACTCCCAGGGGCTGACTCGGTCTAACTGCCCATGGGACTGGACTTGCCCCTCCTCACACCAAATCCAGGACAGAAGGTTCTGCAAGGACTTGAGTGACACCTGAAGCCTCAGACCCTGCACAAATGCTTGGAAATGGGAACACGAGTGGCACAGAAGTGCAAGTGAAAAGGATACACCAGGAGAGAACAGATTAAAACATCAACCTCTGGGACTGAACCTTCTGTCAGCACCACTTGGCAGGAAGAACTTTGCTCTATGTGTGAATGGTCTGTGAGGTTTCCAATTAAAAGAGATGCACATTTCCTCAGGTCCCAAGTGTAGCCTCTTTTGTGACCCAACAGACATTGCCAGGAGTGCACATTTCATTCCCTTTTCGTATCCATTTCCTTTTCTCTCACTGCTCTTAAAGGACACAAAATCTAACACCAGAAGGACACCAGAGCTACCTGGCACAGCCAACACAAACATAAAGGAGCTGAACTGGTTTCTGCAGTTGGGAAAGTGAGATGGAAAAATTCTAAATCAATGTTAAGGTATTTTCCAGGAGAAACAGAATTTTTGCTACTTGTGCAAAACCTCCTTACTTGCTCAACAGCTCACTCAGCACAGGATCTCCCTTCCCCACAGTCCCTCTAAACTGTCAGGCTCTTTGAGGCCTGTTCCTCAGGGAAACCTGAGTGGGAAGGAGCAAAGTTTGGCACTTGAGCGTTCCTGCAAGGGCATCCAAAGCTCCCAGAGCCTGTGGGGTTCATGTGTGGTTGGCAGGGCCAAAAGAGGTAAGACAGAGGGGCCACAGGCCCTGATGGAGAACTGCATAGATGAGGTTCACTACTGAGAACTAATCCCTCTCCAGGCCCCTGGGCCTGTTTGAGCTGAGGTTGCACAGCTCCTCACCTGGAGGAGTGTGGCAGCACTGCCTGTGCTCACAGACATGCTGGATCCAAGGCTTGATTTCCCCGTGCTGAGCTGCACAGGAGGACGAAATCCTAGAGAATGGGACTTAGCAAACATCACCAAAAGCTTCTCTTCTTCCCCAGGACCACAGAGCCACCAGCTCAGGAGGAGAATCTGGTTTGGGCAGAGCTGCCCTGGGGAGCATGGCAGGAGGTGGAATTTTCAAGCCCAAGTTCATCTGCCTGTTAGTGTCTGTGTGTTCCCACCTGGGATTGTCTGATCCCAGACTCCCAGGCATCCTCAGCCCCACAGAGCTGGGAAACAATCCTTCTCCCCCAGCCAAGCCTCCAGGCAGCACCTACCCAATTCTAATGCTTTTTATAGCTGTACAAATAAGAGAGGTCAAATCAGAAAGTGTTTGGAAGTCTGAGTTGGCTCTTGCTTTGTCACAAGGTGCAGAGTGGTGTAAACATGGAGTTATTTGATCTTGGCCAGTGCTGCTGCTCTCCTCTCTGTGTTCTGGAACAGGGCTCGGATCAGGCTCCTCACTTCAGCTGCTGAGAACTCAGCTGCCAGGGGCCCCTTCCCATCTGCCCACCTGCAGGGAGAGAGAGAGAGAGAGCTGTGCTCACCCACACTGCCCACATGGCACAAACAAGGCCCCAAGGACCTGTCACAGTGCTCACCCCTCCAGGCAGGTGCGTGCCCCTGAGTGAGGCCCTGCTGGTGTCACACACTTCCCAGCTCCCTGCTGCTGGAGCCAAGTGGAAATGGAGAAAGGAGAACACCTACTGATCTACTATTTCTTGCAGGTTTGCTTGCAAGATGATCATCAGCTCCTTGAACATCATCCACTTCTGCACATAGATTGGAACCTCCTCTTGGTATTTCTTATTTTGGTCTTCTTCAAGGAGGGGAGTGAAGACTTGGGGTCCTTCCTCCACCATGATCCTGCAGAGTGAGTACAGCCTGTCTGCATCTTCTGCAGAGATGTCCTGGAACCAAACAAACATCACCAGGGTGAGTGAACAGCTGTGAGATTTGGGTCTGTAGTGCCAAGGGAAGGGAACAATTAGCACTGGGAACATCTCTGTGAAAGTGTTCCCCTGAAACCTGATCTTGGGATGACCACCTGGAGGTCACCAATGCCACCCATGCCTGGCAGGCCCACCCCAGCAGGTACCTCCAGGGCAGCAATCCTGGTGACAATCTCTGTCAGGGCTGTGTTCAGTAAGGTCCCCATGGCCTTGCAGTACACGTTCACTGGAAGGACATCCTGCCACACCTTGCCCAGTCTCTTCAGCTGATGCAACACCTGCAAGGTAAGAGCTGTGTGTCACCTGCATGTTATCAAACAGAACACTGGGAAAGGCACCGGGTGCTAAGGTAAGTACATGTGGCCCCAAATCAGGCTGAAAGAAGCAAAAGGCAGTAAAATAGACAGTAAAAGACACAGCCCAGGGCACAAAAGAACCCAACCTCAACATCATGTCAGAAAAGAGTTGCTTTAACAGTTCACTCTGGTGAAACTGTGCAGAGCTCTCAGGGCTGAGAGCACACACTGCACCTTCCCCAGGACACCCACACAGACAAAGGGATGTTTGGTTTTGGTGCCTTCCTTACCTGCCTTATGGCTTTGTTTGCTGCCTGGAAATTCTCCTCATCATCCATGTTAGAGAAATTCCTGGCACTGGAGAGTCTCTCCAGGATTTCTCCCTTCTGCACTCGCATCTGGGCCAGGAAACACTCCATCCCTTCAGGAGAACAGAGAAGCAATGAAGTCATTACTAAATTTGCTGTGCCTGTTTAAGACTGTGAGTGCTAAATAATGAACTTGCTACATGTTATTTTTAAAGGAATTTCCAGTCTCTAATTAGTGTCCCAGAGCAAATTTAACCAGGCCAATTACTTAGTAAGCTCCTGTACAGCTTGTGTGGCTCCAGCACTGCTGAAAAAAGATCTGAGCAGAACTGACTGTGGATGACTCTTGGTAGCTCAGACTTAGCTCAGAATTTGCTTCCATAGAATAAGCTAAAGAAATCATCATAGGACTGAGCAGCAGATCTCAAAACAGCTGAATGCAGCATCTTGGTGGATAATGAACTGCTTTTGGAGCTATGCTGTGTGTCAAAGAGCCAATGCTTGAGAAAATGTCCAAAGGATAACCACTCACTGCTCGAGGCAGCAGCTACACCGACATCAAACCCCTCAGCTACAGCTGCCAGGAGTCATTTCCATGCCACCCCTTAAGAGCTGAGGCCTGAGGGGTCTTACCCAGCCTCCTGAAGCCAGGCACCATGTCCACGAAGGTGGCTGTGCCGTTGCACACGATGTGGGTCATGCGGTAGTGGAACTGGTGGCCCAGGGTGAGCAGGTGGTGAGCGATGTACATGCAGTTGTTGTGGTGAATTGCTGCCAGCTGGGGGAACTTCTGCAGGCTCTCCCTGCCCAGGGAGAGAGCAGGAACAAAGGTGTTTATTTAGACCTTGCTCTGTTAAAAAAACACCTCAGAGAAACTCATGGTTTGTGTGAGATGCTGTAAGTAACCAGCTGTGGGCAGTGCCTAGTACAGACATCAGCTGGAATAAGATCATTTCACCTCTCACATCCCTCCAGAAAAGGAGTCTGAAATGGCACTGAGTCATCTGAACCTCGTGTTGTACACAGTGTTTCTAGCAATGCACTTTCAAACAGGACTACACTTTGTTATAGCCAAGTTATGGTGAGGTAAAGCTTTTTCAGGCACACCCCAGTGTTCTCTGACAGAATTCTGTGCTCTCTCTTGCAGGAAAAACATCATGAAAACTATGCATCAGACTCGGTGTCAAAGTTAGATGGATGGAAACAAACACCACTATGTAAGAGCTTCAACCACCCCCCTGATCACAAGACTGACAGCTCAGAAACTCTCAAGCACTCTGAGCAGACTGAGAGTAGTAGATTTTGCTGCTGGAGGAAGCTGTTCCAATAGCATTATTCCCTCTCCAAACAGGCCCCAGGACACACACAGAGACAAACTCACTTGTGGTATGTTGGCACCACATCATAGAAGAGCTGGAAGATGTTCCTGACGGAGTAGAAGAGCTGTACACAGCTGCAAGGCAAACAAGGTTTGTGTTAGCTTCTCCCTGGAATCAATGTCCTGTTCACAGGTGACCCTCAGCCTTCCCCAAACAAGGTTTTATTAGCAGTGAGGCACTGGCACAAAGAGTGGATTGTCAGGAGCAATGACAGGGATGTCAACACTCTGGAAAACTCACAAAGGCTGAGGGGACCTTGGAGGTTCAGTGTGGAAAAGCTTCAGTTCACCTGGCAGAGGGAGAGCTCTGAGAGCTCAGGAACAAAGGGCACAGTGTCCCTTCCCCACCAGGTGTACACAAGCACTCAGCCCCCTCTGTGCCACTGCAGGGCAATTACCTGGGCAACCCTCCTGCTCCAGGGCTGTGGGCCCTGCTGTTTGAACTAGACTTTATGCAGGTCCTCAAAACATTTGTTTGTTGCCAGCTGCAAAGCTGCAGCTCTCTGCTTTCACCAGCAGCAGGAACTCTGCCCACAGAGGGTGCCAGCACTTACCATCTGGGGTGGGAGAGAGGTGGGTTTGGTTCTTCTAAAAGCTGAGAGCTAAGCTGGGTAAAGCAGTGAACACCTCAGCAGGATTTCTGCCACGGACTGTGCTGTGCACAGGGAGGTGCTCACTGTGGCCACACTGCTTTAACAGCTACACCCAAGCCAGAGTAGCTGAATGTTCCCTGAAACCTAAGTCCAAAATGCTGTTTAACCCTCTGCAGGGAGCAGAGTGTGCAGCTGTACCAGTCTCCTGCACAACCCCAGGGGTTCATCCTCCAGCCAAAACAGAATCACTTCAGTGACTGATTCTAAGTATATTCCACTCTTTTAAAGTTTGAATCCATCACCAGCTGCTTGGTGCTGCTCGAGGCAATAGGTGAGTGACTGAAAAGTAATTCCTACCACTGGTCCATGCTGGCTGTGGCCTCTGACAGTGTCTGGTAAGCCAGTTCCATCAGCTGCTCCACGGATGAGCTGATACGACAGGTTGGCAGGGAGAAGGTGTGCTGGCTCAGTCTGCCCTCACTCCCCAGGTTCACTGTGCCACTGTGCAGCAGGTTGGGAGGTTTTTGCACCGTTAAGTGATCTCCTGCCTTGGGATCAGGGAGCTTTGGTAGGGTGACACAGGAGTCAGGTGTGATCTAGGGGAAAACAAGAGACACAATATAGTTCAGAGGCCATGGAAAGGAGATTGTGTAAGGCTACAAAGCATTGAGTGACAGACAGTTAAGACTCCAGATAAACACAAGCACTATTAGAAAAGTTTAGACCTTGTTTGCAAGATCCCCAAAGAATCAAGAGGATTCAGTGCAGACAAAGAAAAGGACTTGACTCTTCTAGGCAATCCTTCCCCAGCAGCTCTTTCTCCAGACAGAAAAGCTGTGCACTGCACCACCAGTCACCTTTACAGTGTTGTGGATTTCTGAGGTCATCAAGTTTCTGGCTGCCACAACCACATCCTGACACTTCTTGTTAGCAAAGTGGGAGTTGACGTTCCGAGCGTATTTCAGCAAGTCGGTGCTGTCTCCCTTCAAGAACTGCATCTTCTTCAGGGCCTTTTCAAACTCCTCTGTGGATTTAATCACCTGAGAAGAGCAGACATGTATTCTACATTACTGCAGCCTCCTAAAATCCAAGAACCAAATTAATCCTGGGCACAAACTTCCACTCAGTTGAGAGCAAGGGATGGAACTCGGCGTCGGAGGGCACTAACCAAACGTCCTCAGACTGCACTGCCTGGGGCTCTCTGCCCAAATTGCCCATCTGGAATGGCCTGAAAGACTTTTTGAGACCCACCTCTATATACTGCTCCAGTTTGCTGCTGTTGGTTGGGATGGAGTTGACCAGGCAGTTCTGAATGAGGCAGTCTGACAGCTCCGCCCAGATGAGATCCCCCAGCAGCTCTGCCAGTGTGACTCTGCCATCCCTCCTGCCCTCCTCGGGCTGCTCCAGAGGCACATCTGCAGCCAAGACAACAAAAAAGGACTTTAAGACACCTGTTTCCTGGCCCAGACCCTTCACCAGTTCAGGAGTCTCTCCTCCTTCATTTTCCTTACACACAGGACTGATTATCAGCAGACATTCTGGCGACTTCTGCTCCAATTACACAAAAAATATTAATCCCAAATGAGAGAAACCACCTACTTGGAAGATATTTGTGGAGAAGTTCAAAAACAAGCCTGATCTTGTCAAAAACCTTCACAGGAGAGGACTGATCCAAGGTAGGCTTCTCAGATTTAAATTTCAGGATGAAAACGTCTGGCTGCTCCTCGGTGAGTGGCTGCAGAGATGGGTATGAAATCAGAGGCTTGAGGATGTACTTCAGCAACAACTGGCCTGAGGGAAGGAAAAAACAGATGTTTTCCAGCAGCACAAGGCAGGCAGGTTGCTCCAGTGAGGTCCAACCTGACTGTTTTGGATGTAGAGACTCTGCATGAACTAGAAGAACACTCTTGAGCAGCTGCATCAGGAACAGCCGATGAGGTAAAACTCTTTAAGCATCAAACTACGAAACCACATAGCCACAAACTAAAAGTATGCTGAATTGTCAGGAAAGGATGAAGAATTCCAGGTAAATATAGGACAAGTAATTTCCTATTACTAAGAACAGCTTCAGTGGGAAACACACACCAGAAGAGAAAAGTTTTCTCCGCTGTCCTGCTGGAGTGACCTGGACCCCAATATCCATCCTACCCCCAGTGTGAACTCCTGCCCACCCAGGCTGCTGGAGCTGAGGTGATGTGGGGTGTCTTACCAAAGCTTCTGAGCTTGGAGTGCAGCTCTCCCAGCACAGCAAAGGCCTGCAGCAGGGCAGAGACAGCGGGGCCTGCAGCCTCCTCCTCCGGCGGCAGCACCGTGTGCAGGTGCAGCTCTGAGTGCAGCACAGCCTCCAGGCTGCTGCTCTCTGCAAAGAGAACCACCTCATCACAGCCTGCACGAGGAGCTGCTGCACTCCTCAGGTGGCAGCAAAGCAAGACTCTCCCATCTCCCTCCCCCCCCAGATAAAATGCTCATTAAACCACCTCAGTCCAACAGTTTTACTGTAGCTCCCACCGGTGCCTGAAAACAGAACTTTCAAGCAGTGGAACAAACTGTGAGCACCTTTGGAAGGAGGAAGCTTCCACACAATCAGCTTCTGCCACTCTTCCCCCAGATGGTAGAGTATGTTCTGTGTCTGCACTGTGAGCTCTGTGCCCAGTGCCTTCAGAATCTTCAGCTCGAAGCCCTTGCGCGATTCCAGCACCTTCAGGCTGCTCCGTGCCTGGGACAGAGACAACACACACGGGGTGAGAGGGGTCCCTGCTAATGGAAACCACCCTGGGGGTTTATTCCGAGCACTGAACAACATTGCCATGTGCTGAAGAGGTCATTCCTACCTTTTCCAGCTGCTGAGCTGCTACAACATACTTCTTTTCCAGCAGGGCAGTGTTGTATTCCTTAATAGCTGTATCAAACTGCAACAAACACATTCAGCCCTCATCATACTACAGTTTTTAAGCAACAGCTCAAGACAGGGGAGTGAGTTGTTCAGAAAAGAAGCACAGAATAGTGTCTCAGACTGAAGAACAGAGGGGATGATGACCTGAAGCTGCCCCCAGGTCCCTTCCTCACCTCCTGCAGCTTCTTCAGGACACTGAGCACCAGAGTGTCTCGCTCCAGCTGCTGCTTCAACTCAGTAAACTCAGCAACAGCAACATTCAGATCTCGCTGGACCTGAAACAACAACACTTTCAGTCCACTGACAGCAACTGTTATCAGGTACATTTCCTCTTAGACATGAGGTTAGAAGTGTTTCTGTTAGTTGAACAATTTGGTGATGGGTTTTACTCCTTATAAAAGCATTAGGAACTGGTGTTTTCTTTTAACAGATTAGACTTACAGAATGGTTACGGCTGGCAGGGACCTTAAAGATCCTCCACTTCCTAATGATTACAGGTTTTTAAAGACAGTGAAAGGAAATTTAGTCTTAAAAGAGTCAGAAGGATTTCAGAGTTCCTTTAGCACAGACATGTCAAAGACAAGAATGGTTGAACTGCGCCAGAAATTAACTCTCAATAATCTGCAGATGTTGGGAAATCAGAGGCAAAACCCAGAGTGTGGCTGTGCACTCCAACCTGCAGGAGCTGCTCACATTCCCCTTACAATTTCAGAGGCTGTGCACAGGTATAGTTTGGGTCCTGTTGTGCCTGAGCCCATGTGGGACCAGCACTCAGAGGGTCAGTGTCTGTGTCACACCCTCTGACACACTGACAGGGCTGGTTCTTCTCTCTGAAGGACACTGACATACTTTCCCACTCACAACAGAGAGACAATCCCTTAATGACAGCTCTTACTCCCTGCTGCCACACACACCTGTGCCTTAATGACAGCTCTTTGCTTACTCCCTGCTGCCACACACACCTGTGCTGCATGGGGCACATCCAGGCATTCCTTGGAGGTGATATCACCCAGAGTTCTTAGATCACAGCATCACACCATATCCTGAGCTGGGAGGGATCATCGTTCCCACTCTTGTCCCTGCACAGGACACCCCAAATTCCAACCATGTGCCTGAGAGCATTGTCCAAACACTCCTGGAGCTCTGGCAGGCTGGGACCTCCTCCCTCAGTCCCCTCACAACACACCAGGATGGGGTGAGGGACACAGATTTGGGATGGAACAGAGTGGAATCTCCCACTGCCCCCAGGCCTCACCTCATTCTCGATCCCAGCCTTGAGCAGGTCGATGTTGGTGCTCAGCCTCTCCACCTGCAACACCAGGTCCTCTGCACTCTGCATGCTGGGCAGGAACTCACTGTACTTCTTGTTGATCATGGTGCACACTTCTCCCTGAGGACAGAGGACACAGGGACACCATCACCTGGAGCAGTGGTAAGAGACTCCTCCAGGGCTGGTGACCCAGGGCTGAGCACCCCGATATGAACCAGGGCTGGGGACCTTGATCTGAACCAGTGGTGGAGGATCCCAGTCTGACCCAGGGCTGTGCATCCCAACATGAATCAGGGCTGGGGCACCCTCGTTCAAACCAGAGCTGGTCTGATCCAGGGCTGGGCACCTCTAACTGACTCAGGGCTCAGCATCTTTGTCCAAACCAGGGCTGGGCACCCCGATCTGATCCAGGACTGTGCCCCCGGATCCAAACCAGGGCTGAGCACCCCGACCTGACTCAGG